GACTTCGTGGCGGCTCCGCTTTGGCCGAAGGCCGGCAGCCACCAGACGACAGCAGTCACTAGGCACTTCCCCTCTGTTGGCGTCGGATTGCGAAACTTGTGTAAACATATTCCAAGCTCAATGTCAAACCCGACCCATACAAATCCTGTTTTAGATAATGCAATAAGGCGTTTTCAAAGGTCTGCCAGAACGTTTGACCTCTAAAGGCCCGTTAAATTCTTCAGAACCCGTCTCTACAAACCCGTACAAGCCCGCTGGCAAATTCTGAAGCCTTGTTATGGTCAAACGCCTCAAATGTCTATTGCCCTGCAAACCTTGTCCAACCTGTTACCCCACATTGCATGGTCACGATTGGGTGTTAGTCTCCTCCCAAAGGTGAGGGTGGCTATGGAGATCTTCCTGACCTAGGCGGGAATCCGGGCCTGGACCCTTAAGAGCCTCCCTTTGTAGGATTCCTTCATATGATTTCCTTATATAGGCCCTTAGAAAGGTAGGTTCTTTGGGGTCTCCGTAGGAGCACCTTTCAAAACCCCGACATTTCTGTTTTGCCGGCTTTGTCTTCACCGCTGGAGACCGCCTGGACGTATGACTCGTTTGGAACATCCGAGTGCGAGCGCCGAATCCCTAAGCCCAAAATCCGAAATTTCCAGCATGTCAGAGTTCCGGGGATACCTGAATCAGGACTCTGATTTCGGTTTTGGGTTATAGGTTTGGGGAAGTTTAGGGAATACCTGAATTATTGACTTGACTTGGGGTTTAGCGTTTAGGGTTTAGGGTGTACCTCAATTCGGAGTTTCTTTAGGGTTTAACAGGTCTCGGAGGAACCTTGATTAAATAGGGTTTCTTTGACGCAAGATCGCGGTAAACAGGATCCATCAAATGGATTGGCTCTTATCTTGAGAATCAAGACCACAGAAGCGAAGCGGCAGAGCTGGTAGCCGTAGTAACAAGCCCTTAACCCTAAGCCCCGCAATCCTTGCGAGACGGAAAAATGTTCGTGGCAAAACCGCCTGAGATCTTATCGCTGTCCCGCAGCCGTACTCGGATTTCCGTGCGCACATCCTGGCGTGAAGCCAGGACACCTGTCACAAAAGGGTGTGGAAGCCAACCTCGACCAAGCTTCACAGAAGATCTGCAATCTGAGTCTGAGTTCAGTTCTTTCCATGCCCTAAACCCTTTTTACCCTAAACCGGAACAGAAGAAAGGCCGCTGGAACTAAACTCCAAGCACTGCACCCGTAGCCTCCCAGATTTCAAAGCTCCTGCTTCCGACTCGGAAACTCCTTGCGAGGTGTGCGAGAAGCGCCTGGACGTCTTCAGGCTTTGGGGTTGTGGTGGCGTTTATGTTTCAGGGTTTTGCTGCTTCCCAGATCGGCAGAGTCTGGGTTCAAAAGGGGTTCAGGGTTTACGGTAGTGTGTTGTGCTGTGTCTCGTCCTTCTGCAGAGATAGGAAGGTGGCATGTTCTTTGCTTGGCTGGGGCACCTCGGGATGTGTGTTTCATTGTTGCATGCTGAGCGGAGTGTTGACATGCCTGACCGGACATGGACCGGACGACTTGCGATCCTTTATTCGTTTTCTCAAGCTTTGCACTGTATAGGTAGAGGTAGAGGGAGGCTGCAAGCCCCTTGCCGGCATCATGCCCGAAATTCAGAATGCAGGATCGGTGCTTTCTGGCTTGCAGCAAGCCTGCTTGGTCGTGGCCTCCTTTCTCGCGCAGGTGGTGGTCTTGGGGCTCCTCTACTCCTATGGCACACTTTTCGCTGCACTGAAGGCAGACACAGGCGATGCAGCCAGCACCCTGGCGCTTGTGGGTTCGATTCGGGATTCTGTCTTCTGCCTTGGGGCTGCGCCAGCAGGATTCCTGGTCCGGCGTGTCGGCTTCGTGCGGATGGCTACCATTGGAGCAGGTTTACTTCTGCTCGGCATGCTTGCAGACAGCTACGCCCCCTCGAGCTACTTCCTCTTCATAACCTGTAGTTTGGTCGGTGGGATGGCCATGACCCTGACCTTCACCCCAACCCTGACGGTCCTCTATGGTCCAGGCCATATCAGTCGAAGCTTTCTGCCAGTGGCTGTGGGTCTGGCTTCGTCCGGCGGAGGCCTTGGAACTGTCGTGGTGAACCTGGGCCTCCACCTACTGCTGGACAGCTTCAGCTGGAGGGGTGCGCTTCGGATTTGCTGCGGGGCGTTTGGCCTACTGCTGTCTGTTTCCCTGGTGGCTCTGTGGTGCGGTCTTCGCCAACACAAGCAGGCCAAAGAACCTACCACCAAATCTCGAGAGTTTTGGAGCCACGGCGATGTCCGAGACTTCTTCCAGCCTTTCGGAGACTTGCAGTACCTGCTGCTCACCGCCACTTTGCTCCTTTATGCCATTGGCTGCATGGTGCCGTACACACACCTTGTGTACTATGCGAAAGCAGAGAGGGGACTGGAAATTTCAGGAGAGCTAACTTCACTTCTTGGTATATCAGGTGCAGCTGCTCGTCTTTGCTTCGGCCTTCTCTCTACATGCGTGAAGCCTTCGAGGCTTTTCCTGATCGTCCTGCTCGTGGCGGGGGCATCCTTAATTTGCCTGCCCTTCTGCGACGATGCCGCAGAACTGAAGGCCTTCTCTGCCATTTATGGCTTCTCGTCCGGAGGCCGTGTTGTTCTGTTGTCCTTGGTCGTGAACGAGCTTTTTGACTCACAGAGAGTAGCACACCTCATGGGACTTTCTGGCATTCCGCTGCTCGGCTGTCTTTGCTGAGGTTTCGAACCGTATACTTTCCGAAAACTAAACAAAAAACGCACACGAACGCACTGAAACTCGTACGGCAAAAGCCTAGGTTCATGTGTAGGCCCCTTCATAGTGTAGTCGGTCCATGGCGATATGGAGGTTAGCAGTCGGTTCGCTTCTTGGGCCCACCTTCGTCGGCAAAGTCTATGACCTCACTGGCCACTATGACGGCGCCTTCTTCGCGGCGGGCGGGATCGTTCTCTTGGCAGTCCCGGTGTTTGTCCTTGCGGGGCGATCCATCGAAAGACCTTCGCCCTCGAGAGCAGCAGATCGCACTAGCTCACTAGCTCCGATGCCATGAAAGATTCCGAGAAGGCGGATCATCGGGAACAGGTCGTCCCGGCGTGTGATGCCTCGGAGGAATCCCCGCATGGAAAGTGCAAGCTTTAATTCGATTCTCGGGCCAAGAAGATGTGAGCTTCTCCCTGCCGCAGGCAGGAGAGGAAGGATAACTTGAGCCTCCTTAATACGCACCCTCTTCGGTGCTCCTTTGCGATGCATCAGAGTCACTGCTCTCGGTCCCGAGACTGTGCATTGCGGGTTCTTAGTGAGTCCAACAAGGGCACCTGATTTTGATGATCTCTGTATCGACCTGCACGCGCATCCGAATTGGATCCTGCGGGCGTTGAAGCCGTCTCAACAGGACTCAGCATCAGCATCATCCCCCGTGCGCCTTAAATCATTCGATTCGATTGTCCCAGAGTGAGCACCAAAACCGACTGCCTTGGAAGGGGCTGTGAAGGCTGCCTACAGGATCAAACGTCTCCTCAGCCCGTTCAAAGTCTGCTATAACACATGCACGATAAGAAGCCTCAAGCACGATCAGAAAGCTACTGTGATCCCCACCGTTTCCTCTACTGACCTGTGCGGCAGCAAGTTGTATCCCACACACCTGCAATCCCGTCTTTGCATAGCTGGAGAGGAAAGTCACGGCCCTCACTGCAGCTGACTTCTGCAGTGTGCTCTCCGAGGAGGTGATATCCGCACCTCGGAGCCTTTTTAAGTTTCAGGCGTTTGAGCTTCGTCTTTCTGGTCCACGATCTATACACCTTAAACCCTAAATCTAGGCTTCTGTGGTTGACAGCAGCGAGTAGTTTTGGCTATTTGCGAACCTGCGCAGGTGGACTACTCCTCAGAGCTCAAGCGCCATCAGAGGGGCTGCGGGGTCTGGGAGTAAACCTAAAACCCGAATCCCTAGAGAGAAGCTGGGCCGGGCGGGGGTCTTACCTGTAAGGCTTAAAGCTCCAGCTCAACCTAGAAAACAAAGAAAGAAGTTTTGAGAAAAACAATTGTTTTACTGCCCTCTATTTTCAGAGATTTGAGAGAAAGGTTTTCACGAAGGTTCAGAATTGTTTCGAAGTTTCTCGTCAATCTATATGCATGACAGAGTTCAGGCTCAGGAGCAGAGAAAATTTTGTTTGTTAGGGACTAGCATTCACAAAGCAGTTTGTGACGCATTTGTCTCGCAGTTTGTCCGAATCTACCTCAACATGCTAATACGAATTAGAGCCTGTAGCGGGAGGGGCGGCCCTGCGGCCCATGGAGTGGCACAGGTCTCAGTTGGCCCGCACTCGTGCAGCCCTACCGTGGTAGGTTAGAGGAGTGGTTCGGTACGCCCGAGAAGCTTCATGCGTCCTTTGACACGAAAGCAGAGTTGACTCCACTTCTTGCATCGTGTGATCCCACACTTTTGGAGTCAAGTCGGGTTTTGATTGCAGATGCTTTGCTTGAATGGCAGAAAGAGACATTGAGCATAGTCTTGAGCGGGCGTAGAGAAGCCCGGAGGCGTCTTACCGAATCATTGCCAGCATCTGGAGTCGCTCAATTAAACCTGCAGCAGCACTACAATCAAATCTCCTTGCAGAGCCCGTTGGCGCTGCTTCCGGCCCTCAGAAAGCGCAAGCTAGCAGTGGATCGAGCAGTCGACAGGGGGGCCAGGGCCACCGAGGAGGCACGGCTCAAGAAGGAGTATGCACTCCGCCTTGCCTCGATCATCCAAGAGGCCAAGCTTCCAGTGTGCAAGGTCCTTGCGGGGGTTAGTGATGCAGAGGAGGCTTGGCCTCGCTTGTTTGGGACCCGACGTTCCAAGACACTTCGCAATCGCTTCCGCTCTTGGGAGAAATTCCGGGAGTGGCTCATCTTCAGCAGGGGAAGGGCCTACCTCGAGGGGGTTGCTGATGTGCTTGATTTTGCAGCTGAAAGGTTTCGCGAGGGGTGCGGTATAACCGTACTAGACAGCTTTCAAGCTGCGCTGAGTGTTCTGGAGACAGTAGGGCGTGTACCAGAGTCCCGCCAGATTTCCCAGGATCCGACATGGCAGGCTCAGCTCAAGAGCTACACAGCAGATCTCACATCGGCAGCACCCCCGCGAGCAGCCGGCGAGCATGTTCACCACAGCCATTCTTGTTGCTCTTGAGATCTTCGTGTGCATAGTGGAGCTGCCTGCATATCTTAACGCCTTGGGGTTTGTAGGCCTGCTCATGGTGTGGGGTTCTCTCCGCGCCGATGATGTGCAGGGCTTGTTGCCTCAGACTATGGAGCTAGACGAGCGCGGTTTCTCCATTGATCTTGCAAGGTCCAAGACCACAGGACCGGACAAGAGGACTCACGGTGAAGGTCTTCGTGGAAAGGCACATCTCGCTCACAGGGCATGACTGGATCATCACCACCCCCTTCTTGTTGAAATAAAGACGTGGGGGAGTGGTCCTGAAATATTTCAGGGGAGGCTCTGGGGCGGACCTTGGATGTACGTCTTGCCTAATCTGTTTCAGCTTGTGCGGGCTTTTCCATTTCAACATTTGCCTCCCCAGAAAGCTGGCTCAGATGTGGCGACCATCTTTGGTGAGGTAAGGGTGCCCATTGAATCTGCGCCTTGGGGCACTTCAGCTTAGATCGTAATAGATCGGATAGGACATCAGATGTGAGGAAGCGGTCTCTATATGTTTCTAGGAAAGATAGCCTGCAAACATGACTCCGAAGCCTCGCTTGCTGCCGCCTCCGTCCGGTGTGGTACTTCCTCCCGATCCTCCTCCGGCGTGTGTTTCCTGGCTTTGTTATACTATAGTAGCCATCGCAGTGCAGAGTGGCTCCATGCTTAGGCTGTGTCGACCTGCTGGGGGACTTTGGGCAAGATCGAGTACGATTCCAGCCTGAAGATCTTCCGATGCAGGCCATTACAACCCGTTCCCCCTGCGCGCCTTCTACACACATGCACAATGCACGAGAGGAAGGGCTCCAAACCCCCCAGAACCCGCAAACTGCAGCTTTCATCCGCAGCAGCTCGTGCCACAACCCGTTCCCCCTCAGGTACTTCCAGCAGAAATTCGGCGCTGGCTCCAGCCGGGACTTCTCACACAAGGTGTACAATAAGTTTGCCAGTGTTGTGCCCGGCCCGCGACAAGAACGACATAGATTCTTGAAGTTTCTGGCCCAGGTCTATACGGAAGCACCTCCCTTC